GGTATTTCCTGAGAAATGTTATCATTAATCTCCATCCTTGCTGAATAAATGAATTGGGAGTATTTCCACTCTAGTGTTTGTAACCCAAGCATACAATGTTTGGATATCTGTTTCACAGAAATTTTTTTGTTTGAGTTTCAGATTTATTTTACTTGCATCTACATTTTTAGAAATTTTAGTCAAAGACCTGTTTATGAAGTTGCTGACTCCCAGATTTTTGTGTTAAAATCCACAGTAGATTTAGTTTACACCATGTCATGTCAAATGTCAAATACAGAAAAAGCCACTTAGTGCTCTACCACTTCTAACCTGTTTGACATTCACAGAAGACTTCATCTCCATCAGAGACAATGCACCTGACTGTCAAGACTAGTATTTAAATTTTACTGAGCCACTCTTGCTTACAGGCTGTCTTCCATGGTAAAAATACTGATGGCCACCTAGGAAGTTTGTTTCTCCTGGCTTTTAATATGGGATGCTTGCTTAAAAAACAGCTGGAGATTCCCAGCCTTCATTCTGCCCTGCCACAGTTTGCATGAACATGGACCAGATCCATCAGTCACATTCTTTGTCACACTGCAGCCTTTCAAAATGTGGTGTGGCTGTGCAAGGAGGTATTTAAAAGGAATAGTTAGTAAATACATCTTGGGAGCTCCCTTCAGATAGGTATCGCTCACAAACCCTAACAACTAAATTCTGTAATCACGGAGCCCTCAAACCAAACACAGTTGCTCCCACATTGTAGGTCACAATAAGTACTGATGAAGGAACAAATAAAGGAGTGAGCTGCTGTGTTTTCTTTAAGGAAACAAACAGTAAAGCTTATAAGGAAAATAATGTGTTGCCAGAATTATATCCAATCCCATAAAAAACCAGTACGTTTTTTTTTTTTTTTCCTTTTTCACTTGGGGTTGAATAAAGGAGAGTGTCTAAATATCTCTGCTGGGGAAAAGGAGATTGAGAAACACTCGAGAAAGAAATTTTTCTGAGCACCATGACTGCCAATAAAAGATGTAAGATCGAGATTGTCAAATCACCAGCTCTGTTTGTTGTATTTCTGTTAGTTGAGATGTGTTTATAATCTAAATTTTTAGTAAAGCTTGCCACACATCCATGCTGTTGGAGAGTGATGCACGACAGTGGAAATGTGTAGGCTTGGCTGGGATTACATGTTCTATTTGAAGATTGTTGGGGGCTTATGCAAATTTCAGTAAAATATCCAATATTTAGGTGGTTTCAGCTGACTCCTGAGTGACACATGTACAAAACAAAGTAAATAAACCATTTAACAAATAATGTATCTTTATTTTCTTATATATATTCGATAAACAAGTTTTTCATGGATAAAAGAAGAAATAAAAGGAATAAAAACACTTCATAATATTAATATAAACACAAACTACATCCACCTACTCCTAGTAAGGCAAATCCCATGAAACAAAATGTTGGCTACTGATGTTGGTTTGAAAGATCCTCACAAGAGTCCCGAGTGTCATTTGAAACTGGTCTCTATATTTGAGGACAGGAAGAGCCCAAGAAAAGAGGCAGGCCACTCCAGATTGGTAGGCAGCAGACTTAACAACGAAAGGATCTTACATACTAGGTTTATCTTGTGTGGCTGAAAGCCAGTACATCTTTACACCTGCTGTCAGAATCTTGAAAGTTTATATAGAAGCCTTATCTGGGCTCAGCCTCTATGCTATCCACATGGTCTCAGCAACACAGGACTATCTCAAGGTCATGTCCTTGAGACAGCATTTAGGAGGGGCAAGACAAATGCTAGGCACATTCCAAGGACAGGGTCAGGGGTAAGGAGTCTTGAGTGCTGAGGCCCAGCCTGTGGGTCAACTAGCAGGCATATCCTCTCCAAGACCTTCCCAGTAAACATTCACATCCAGGCATTGCCTGATAATGGTCTTCTCTTCCCCTGCATGGTGTGATGCCTCAGCAGGACTCAATTACTTGTTTGAGGCAGGAGGATGGTAGTTCACAAAGGGATGGCTGACTTCATGAGCCCTTTGCTGTGTCTATGAAACCTGAGCCCTCTTCAGGGCACACACTCCACTCAGCTGTGTGGAGGGCCTCTGGTTGCCTGTGCTCAATGCAGAGTCCCCTGCACATGGATCCCCTCCTGTCTGAAATGAAATAGCACAGCGCAGCGTCCTGAGCCCACCTCACAGGGACACAGCGAGAGAGCAGCACAGCGAGAGAGGAGGCTATCCTCCCAGTGAGGCAATGCCCTTGCTGTGGAGAACCCTAAACCAGAAGAAACAGTCTGTGCCCCTGCTCCTAGGTCTCCTTTTGCACAACAGTATCTAGGAAGGAGCTCTTCTCATCCTGCTGAATCACAGCTGTGGCATGAAGCTGACTCCTCCTAGGAGAACTGACCAGGTCTGAGGATGGCTTCCTGGAGGTGGGGCTGTACCTCAGGGGTACTGAGCAAGTGGGGCTGATGGTCAGCCATGCCCAGGGGCCTGTCCATGACCCCTCTGCTACCACACTCTTGTTTCTGTAAGTTCTCCTGGTTCCTGGGCTCACACAGATATTAATCCCGTAGAAGGGCCCCTGACAATGGATGTGTGTTTTCTCTATTCTGCATTACTTTCTACTTGTACGGGTTTTCCTGTGAGTCTTACTATGAGGCACGGGGTCAGAAATCCAACACTGCCATATTTCTTGTTCTAGTTTCTTGTCTGTCCCTTCATAGACCCAGCCAACACAGGCCCTGGGGGATGAGATTGAGGCCCCTGACAAGACCATGCAAAATTGTGACTTTTATTACTCAGAGATTTTTTTTCCCACAGATGTCAATATAGACCTCATCCAAGCTTAGCTAAGCCAAGTTCAGTATCTAATTTTCTAAGGCAGAAGTAAGGGGCCTAAAGTAAAAGAAGTATATAATCTTTGCTTCTTTTTAATTGGCTCAAATCCAGGTATTTTCCTATTTCAATAGGGGAAAATCTTGAGTTCAAAGTAAAGCTTGTTAATAAAAGAGGAAATAATGTGGAGAGGAGCCAGATATCCTGATAGGAAGCTCCTACCCCAGTGCTCCTTGTCTTTTCTCCTTTCCACCTTTCATTGTCAATGTGGGGCCTGTGGTCATAAGATTGTCTTCCTCTCTTTCCCCAGGGTGGGAATCAGTTGAGTGTTTTCCAGACTTTCATATGCAGAAAGTTTCTCAAGCTTTGTCTTTGCATCTACATAATCATTTCTCCCTACTTTCAAGGCATGATAAATTATTACTATTACTACTATTATGACTACTACTACTACCATTATTATTAATTGAGGTGACAGTATAGAGCTTCTTATATTAATCAAAACAGTCATTACTTGAACTGACTTTGAAGTCCATAGTCTGACTCATTATTTTCCACTGGAAATCATGCTGAGTTATGTTACCCAATCATGCCCCTAAATTAATTAATTTCTTGGACAAGGGCACTTACATTATAAGTCTCTTTATTTACTTATGCGCATATATGGAAACCTGGATCCCAAATACTTTGTTTCCATTCAGAAATAATTCCCTCCTTCTGGCACCTGATAACTCCTTCATATTCTCTCAAGAAAACTTTACAGAGAGAAAACTCTAAGTAACTTTACATTCAGCTACTTGAGGTCTCCTGCCCAGTATTTCTGGTGAGTAGGTCAGTCTCCACAGGGCATCTCCCTTAATTTAGTCTAGATTTAAGCCCAAAACTCATCTGAGAACACTGCAATTCTGCCAAGGAATTTTTATTGTTTTGTACTTCCTGGGTATCAAGGAAAGACCAAGCAAGAAAACCAAACAATTTAATAGAAGGCCAAAAAAAGTTATTTTGTAGTGTAAATCATAAATTCTCTATTGCCTATCCCAGGGCTTTTTAGCTAGAAATTCTAGAAAGACATAGTAGTTGACGTTAGTCATCACATCATTATATAGAAAAATTAAAATCCCAAGAAAGGAAGAGAGAAAACACAGCCTTAGTACAATGTCAAAATGAACAAAAGTTTATTGTCCAGATTTTGAATATTTTTTCCCTGTGGGAAGATGGATTGGTGAGAAGATGGAGGAAGCAAAGAACAATCTGGAGTTTTTTCTCGATGTCAGTCTTTTTCGGTTTTCCCAGGGTCATACATCTTATAGCAGATTCTGACAGTACATTAAATGTCACTTTGTGAAGTTGAAACACTCATGAATGAGATGACAGTGAAGGCAAAGGGAAGGATAAAAGTTGGAATGTTAGTAGTGAGGCCAACTCATCAGAGAGATAGTGTTTGTAGGCATTAGATACACATGATGGAGACAGACAAGTATTAATTTAAAGATGTATTTATTTTAGGGAGATACAGTGAGAGCATACCCACAGAAGTCTGGGGAAGGGCAGAGGAATAAAAACTTCAAGTAGACTCCCCTCTGAGTGCAGAGCCAGACATGCGGCTATATCTCATGACCCATGAGATAACGACTTAATCGAAAATGATTCATTAGCTTAACCAACTGAGGCACCCAGGACCCAGGAGACAGAAAAGCATTGAGTCTCATTTAGATCACTTATTAACAATGTTACTCTGAAAAAATGATATAATTCTCTACACCTTATGAGATTGTTATGAAGGTTAATGCATTGAATCATATCATAATTCCTAATAGAACCTGACATTTTAACGACTCAATGAATTAGTTATTATAATATCGGCAATAGTTATTGTTATAGAAAATGATTCCTAGATTACATCAATCTTCCTCTGTAAACTGTTGTCTAATCACTTAAGGACTCCAATATTTACCTCTCAATGAAAGCCATTGAAGTTTGTTGAATGTACTAGTTATTTTTTTATCATTTCATAGGACAATTTTTTGATATTTTAATTTTACCTTACATGTTTATTCTCATCTAGATGATATAAAGATAATGATGATATGATGACGATGACAATGATGATGATGAAAATGATACCATGGATGACAACTTATGACTACAGTCAGCATCAGATATTAAAAGCAAACATGAGAGTCACGTTTTGATGGGGCGAAACATACGGATAATGGCTCGGCAGATCTCCTTTGTCTTGGCGCTATAAATGAGAGGGTTGAGCACAGGAGGGACAAAGAGGTAAACATTGGACATGAGGACATGTACATAGCATGGGGCATGCTTCCCAAAGCGGTGCACTACTGAAACCCCAATCATCGGCACATAAAACGCAAGCACAGCCAAGATATGTGACACGCAAGTGTTGAGAGCTTTCAGACGTTCCTTGCGGGAAGCGATGGCCATGACTGAATGCAGAATGAGCACATACGAGAGGAAGATAAATAACATGTCCATGCCGAAGGTGGATACAAGAACAAAGAGGCCATAGATGCTATTGATAGTGATATCAGCACAGGCCAGCTTGATCATGTCTGGGTGCAGGCAGTAGGAATGGGAAAGAACATTGGAGCTACAGATAGGCAGCCTCATGAAGAGGAAGGGAAGGGGAAAGAGGGTGATGAAACTCCGAGCTGTCACAGCTACACCTATTCCTGCAATAACTCCATTGGTGAGCACAGTGGCGTAGTGTAAGGGATCACAGATGGCCACATAGCGGTCAAAGCTCATGGCCAGCAGAATCCCTGACTCCATCATGGAGAAGGAATGAATGAGAAACATCTGGATGAGGCAGGCATCAAAAGCAATATTGCGGGCATTGAGGCAGAAGGTTCTGAGCACAGTGGGCAATGTGGCCATGGACATGGCCATGTCACTGAAGGACAGCATGGACAGGAAGTAGTACATGGGCTCGTGGAGGCTGGGCTCCACTCTCACGGCCTGTAGGATCAGAGCATTGGCTCCGAGGGCCACGGCATACATCACGCAGAGGGGCCCTGCTAGCCAGGAGTGAGCGCTCTCCAGATCAGGGATGCCAGTCAGGAGGAAGGAAGCAGGATGAGTGACATTGAACAGTCCCATGGCAGGGGCAAGTCAGCCACACGCTTAACAGGATCGGACCTGGAGGACTTCTGAGAGTTGCCCTTACTGGAGGACATGAAGCCAGGGAGTAGCACGCACAGGGCATGAAGTCTACAGTAGAAACTATTGCCTTCCTGAAATCACTGGTAAGGGGAAAACATTGGCAAACTTCTTTTCTTCATGTTTCCCCATCATCAGGCTACAAGCTGGGCTAATAACCCTCTGCTTTACACATGAAAGGAGACAATGGTCAATGTTTCACAGATCTCCATTAAGTACAAGGAAATGTTCAAGTCCTATCATGTTAAGCTATGTTATCCACAACTTTAATTTGTCCTTGAGGGAGCACTGAACAGAAATAAGTCCAATTCACAGGTAGTTAGTAGAAAGAACGGTGAGAGTTTGAGTCATCAGGAACTCATGTTATGAAGCCCTTACCAGGCAGACACACCCTCCGGTACTGCCTTACTCAGTTCTTTGGACAGTGACACATGTTACTGACTGCATTCCCAGACCTTAATCACAATGATTTCTCTGTGAGTGTGATTACAGTTTGTATTGTCCTGTTATTCTGATGTTCTGGAAACTCTTTCACCTTCATTGCCTCATGATGGATGAAGATAGACAGGGCTGGAAGGCTTTCTGTCAGGCAGAACTGTTTCAGGCTAAGACACCCTCCTTTGGGAGAGGAAGTCCTGAAATATTTTCCATTTCCCCTTCTTCTCCCAACCCTAGCAAAGCAAGGCTGGAGTATGATCTCAAAGTCCTTGCTGATCAGATGGAGGAGGAAGGGGACACGGGAGGCCCAGGTATCCACAGACCCCAGAAATGCTCCCTTGAGGACTAATGCAGCCGTATTACATGGGGAACATTACTGGATTATCTGGGGTACTATAGGACCTGGATTGCTCTGTGGTTGACAAGAAGTCAGCGGCCACTTCTCTGGGTGATGGATTGCATCCTTTTTGGTCATAGAGCTCAGTCTACACAGGCCTGTCTCCCTCTACACATATGGTTGCTTGGCTGAACAACCCCATTCTTCACTTTTTTCCTCCTCCCGGACCACGAGTCCTATTCTTCATACAACCCTCAGTGAAGGAATTTAGGGGAGAGATATAGGAAGATTAGTGAGCAAAAGTGAAGTGAACTGAAAGAAAAGGGAGAAGAAACAAGTCTTCAATGAGTAGAATTCTCTGCAGGGCAGGCCAAAGCCAATCTGTGTGTAGACATCTACATTTTAGTATTTGTGGAAAAAAGGGCTGCTTGACAGTCCCAGGATCACATTCCTGATCATTCCCAGCAGTGACTCACCTCCTGGGTTCTCTGGAAGCATGGGAAGAAAGAAAATCAGTGACAGGAAAGCTACATGTACTGAGCACATTGCCTGTCAGATAATCTGTAGGAACTTTCTATTTCCTCAGTTCATCCTTGACCTTGAGGTGGAGGTTCCTGGCTGTGAGCAGGCCTCTCAGAGCATGGTCAGTAGGTGGCAATGCCTCAGTTTGAGTAAAGATCTATAACACTCTAATATCTTCTTCAGTCTTGGAGGCACCATTGAGGGGGAGAGAAGAAGTTGAAAGGGAAAATACAGTCCACATTTCTGGATGGAGATTTCAAAGGTGCTCTTGGACCAAGTAGATGGTCCCAGGCAGATTCATGGGGCAAAGAAGATGTGGAAGTCCCTGTCTCCAATGCTGGACTCGAGTTCCTGGGCCCCCAGAACTCAGAGCTCTTCCTTTCTCTGCCACCACATGGGGACCAAGTGGTTTAGGGGACAGGGTGCTGGAGGGGGTGAGGGACCCTGGACTCACTAACCTGCTCTGGCTTGCCCTGGCCGTGTGAGCTTGCCCTGGCTGTGTGAACTTGGGAGACCCTAGTTCTCTTTCTACACGGAGCCTCTTTCCCCTTATCAGTCTATTTTGGGATGTATTCTATGATTCTTTAGGGCTCTGATGTTCTCTCACGTTTATTTCTAGTCAAAGAGAGAATGAGTATGAAACTTTGCTGTGTAAGAAGGCTCAGATAGACAGAGGATAAACAGCTAGAGGATGAACACAGTGGTCTTCTGATGAAACAGCCTTGAAATCAAGGGCAGGAATAGAAGATTAGAGATACTTGGTTGGCTAAGCTCAGCTCCTGTGGAGTTTAGGACTAACTGATTTCTTTATTCTTTTATCTCCTGGGTAACTTTACACTTTATCTCAGAATTCATGGTCACTATTTGCATAGATGTAGAGTGAACTGGAGGGGATTATGCTAAGTGAAATAAGTCAAACAGAGGAAGACAATTACCATATCATTTCACTTATATGTGGAACATAAGGAAGAGCACTGGGGACCTTAGAAGGAAGGGAAAAATGAAGAGTGGGAAATCAGAGGGGAAGACAAACCATGAGAGAGTAGAGTATGGACTAAAGGAAACAAACAGGGTTTCAGAGGAGTGGGGAGATGGGGTAACTGGGTGATGGGTATGAAGGAGGGCATGTACTGAATAGAGCACTGGGTGTTATAGGCAAACAATGTATCATGGAACACGACATCAAAAACTAATGATGTCCTATATGGTGACTAACATCACATATTAAAATTTAAAAAAATAAAAGCAAAAAAAAGAATTCATAATCAAATGCAAAGTTTGGTAATGTTAGTCAATCCATTTTGTAGACTGTGAACACTTTGCTCCAGGATTTCAGAAATTTGCCCTTGTCCTGAGCTGACTTTCCTCCCTGAACTGCTACAATGTTAATGAGTCCTAAGAACATGGATTCAAAGGACATTGAACCTGCAAGCTGAGCTATGTGCAGAAACAGAGTGTATTAGCCAGAGTTCCATAGTTAGTGGCAGTGCCCATGAAGGAATCCCCAGTCCAGGGCCTTGCACCTGCACTGCTGGCTCTACTAACCTCCAGGCACTCTCTCCCTCTTCTCCTTCCTCCACAGCCTTCCCAGTTGCACTCTTTCTTAGAGCAGTGTTCAAGGAGTCAGCTAGCTGCACCCTAATGGATCTCTGAACTTACCAGAAGCCAGACAGAGGGAGAGACACTGGAGGAACAACACGCCCTTCTCTCTATCTGCTCCCGTGAATTCATACCTGCCTCTTTTGTATCTAATTCTAAGCCTCTGGAGAGAGCAGGGTGATGCTGCTTTGTGTCTGAAAATGCATCAGGAGAGTTTTAGCCTCTAAAGGTCCTTAAGGACACTTGAGAATAAAGCATGTGTTCTTGTTTCTGAAAAAGAACGCAGCAATTAATCAGCCCGTCCAATTCTCTACCCACTGCAAGACACCATTAGTGATGGCTGGGCATGGGTGTAAGAGAAAGGTTCAGGGTTATGTCATCTGTTGACCAAGCGCAAGAAATAAGATATAAGCAGAAAATTTAACAACACAGTTCAGGAAGAGTTATTGCCGTACCTTGGATAGGTTCTCAAATGGTGCTCTAGTTCAGGTTTTGTGCTTCCATCATTGGGCTCCCATCATTTCCTCCGTGTGGAATTCTGCCGCCTAAGCTCTTCCTGCTGAATCCCACAGTCCTAAATTCATTCTAAACTTTATCAGAACTGTGATTCTTAATGTGAAGCTGAAACTGAGAGTTTGAAGGGTGGGTGCTGTTTAGGTGGTGCTGGGGTCTCAAGTTCAGACATGAGGCTTGTGTGCCTGGGATGCAAGCCCCTGGATGGGGCAGCAAGGGTGGGTGGGGACTTCCCTGGCTTGTTCTGAGGTGTTTCATAGGTCATGGTAAGACACGTTTTGGAAATGTGGAAATGAGCAAAATGGAACCAATAATGCTCTGGAATTCCTTCTCACTGAGGCTGCCTTACCCCCTTAGCAGATCTTGGGAACTGGCTGGCAAAGGGGAAGTGTCAATTGCAGAGTTCCAGCCCCAGAATCACAAAGAATAACATAAAGAGTGGGATTGAGTCAGAGAAAAAGTAACGTAATAACCTGTATGATAAAATAATGAGCTTAGTTCTGGGAATTGTTTACACAGGTTTCAAAAGAGGAAACTGACCAGCAGAAGGGAATAACACCTAGAGATTTGCAGCAAAGGAAGCCACTGACTGCTACTCCTAGGTGGGAGAGTCCCAGGCCAAGGTGACCTTGCCCAGCAGAAGCTAGAGCCATGGTACAGAGGCAGACCCCTGCTGGTTACTTAGCTTCAGGCAGGAGAGTGGAGTGAGTGATATTCCCCCTATCTGCTGATGCTGTTGACACCTGAACCCAGGTGGAGTCTGGGATATTCATGTAATGATAGAGGAAGAGCTGCAGAAGGGTGAGTAGTGGATCTGAGGGTAAAGAGGCCCATCCTTGGTACTGAAGCGAAGCATCATTCATTCATTCACTGCAGGGTGATGGTATCAGTAACACTATAAGCTCTGGGATCTCTCATGGACTTTCAGACTCATAGGCAGCACCATGCAAGGGGTGGACTCACTGTAACACGTTGAGGAGGAAAGTTGTTGAATTTCTAGTGTTCTGAGGTGTAGAGATTCCGATTATCTTTTCTCTCAAAGCCAGATAACCAGATTTCTCAGGTAACTACTTCAAGACTGGCACACAATCAAAACTGAAATTCTTAAAGCCATCCAACTCAAGTAGCTTTTGGGACTCTTTCATTATAGCATTGTTTATTTCTGCCATGAAAGCAGTGGTAGCACTGTTACAGTTGGCTCTACAGGGATCTGTAGTCTCCACTGTGGAGAGCAGTCTGGGGAAGGAGCCAGATGCTTCTAGGATGGGTCACAGGGATAGCATGAGTGTTTACTTGTTAATAAGCAGCTGACCTTGGGACAAAACAGCTCCCCCTATAAATTGGATTATTTAGCCAGATAAAAAGATATCCATTACTGGGGGCACCTGGGTGGCTCAGTGGGTTAAAGCCGCTGCCTTTGGCTCGGGTCATAGTTCCAGGGTCCTGGGATCGAGCCCCACGTCAGGCTCTCTGCTCAGCGAGGAGCCTGCTTCCCTTCCTCTCTCTCTGCCTGCCTCTCTGTCTAATTGTG